ACGTTGGTGATGTTCGCTGCGTTACCACTGCTTATTGGCACAAGGCTTATTTTTAGTAAAGTTTGTTAATATTTTTTCAATTTTTCATTGTTGCATACTCAGTTTTCATAAATGAATACATAAAGCTTAAGGATGAAATACAGACTTCCCTACCACACGCCCGACGTTAAATACCAGTATTTGGATCGAATATCTCGGTCTTAATACACACATACATATATAAATACATATATACATGCGTACACAAATACACATACGTACATACATAAATACATACATAGATAGGTACATTCACACGTACATACATACCTACACATACATACATACATACATACATACACACATACATACATTCATGCATACATACATACAAGCAGTTTTCATGAAAGCAGAAAAAATGGTCAAATGAATATGCGGAGTAGAAAAAATCCTCCATTTTTTGTCTCTACGTAACATGCAGGTGTCTAGTGTCGACAAGAGTTAATGTGATCAAATGCCCATTCCTCGGTCTTTAATGCGTACTTTTCCTAAGATATGCGTGCCAGCGATTCTCTTACTAAGCACTCACGTAAATTCCAGTCTATCACCACTGAGACATTTAGAGGATTTTAAACCCAAATTTGCGCTGAACATTTAAAACCGACTAATGTAGCAGAATGGCCCGTGGAATGTATTTTGCCTTTAACAAGGATGAGCGTCGAGAAGCACTTACTGAATTAGCCGGGGAAAAGAAAGTTTTTCGGTAAAAAGCTTTCGAGAGTCGCCTAACAAAAACAAAAAATGGCTTTGTAGTGACCGTAACTGCAAGAGATAGCTATTGATTTTTTGCAGTGGTTTTGCAAAACTCGTGACGATGAGCAAAAACTGCTGGCCAAAATGACGAATCTGGTACAGGAGACATTTTCATGTATTCGAACTGTTATAGAATTTGCAGCGCAAAAACAAACAATCAACAAGTAGGTTGTTTTGGAGAACTTAATAAGCATTTTTCAAGTAGAGGGAGAGCCACGCATCTGCTATCTGAATAGCTACAACGGGCTTCTCAGGGAGAGGATATTTTGCCTTGCGATTTTTGAGGGTCTAGATCCCTTCAGTTTGACCTAGGTCAGGTACCAGTTTGAAAGGAACTATTAATGGAGGTACATGGACAAACTTCGGGATCGCGGGCGAAAACGGGAAGATGGGAGGAGAAGGGTAGGGAAGGAAGAAAGTGGAGGAACAACAAATTTTTGTAACGATGCCATGTAAAATCATATGTAAACTTGAGGGCATTCATCAAATTCTTGCTTCTAGATATGAGCGATTAACAATTGAGCTTAATCGGATGACGGAGCAGCGTCTTACTGCTTCATCCATATATGACGCTCTTGCCCAGGTGAACAGTGTGCTTTTCGTGATTTGCCATAATTCACAAAACCGTTGCTTGAAAAGATTATCAAGAACGTTTGGACAATCTGTGCGGAAATCCCATGTTAGAGATGTTACTGGAATGCACTCACATGACATCGAGTAGCTATACTAAATCCTTTGATCATGAGCTGTTCATCTATTGTTGATAACCGCTAATCATATCCTTGTTAGAAGTCAGCTGACTGAGCGTTTACTGAGAAAGCTTTTTAGTAGATTTCTACAGTAGTTTTTTAATATCAGAATCAGAAATTGTACGAGGTAAATTTTGTAGCGATTTGAGGTAGTTTTTAGAAATTTTCTGAGACATTTTTTGGAATAAATTGAGCAATTTCATCGTCCAATTTAAACAGATGAATAAAATTTAGGTGAATTCTTCTGACAGCTTTAAAATACATCCTTAGATTTTTTTTATCACCA